AACAGTGTAAAAGAGTTCCTATTTCTTCACATTCCCTCTAGCATCTCTTGTTTCCTGACTTTTTAATGATCGCCATTCCCCAGTACTCTCAGTTCTTTAGGGATGAACCAAATGGCTGGTATCATCACTTACAACAGTGTTTTAAACTTGGAGCTTCTGTTGAAAAAAAAGTTTATGTATTTTACTTTTATCTTTTAATTCCATTTCCCACGAACTTTTTGAAGTCTCTTCTCATAATGACTACACAAAAATTGATTAGAATCCTTCATTGTCCATCCATGCTAGGCAGTATTTTTCATGTAAAGATTTTAAAGCACATTGCAAATGATGGCGTCCTTTTCTTACTGATAGATTGACCAAGGTACCAAACCAGGTGCCTATGTCAGGTTATGTTTAGAGAATAGAGAAGTTGGGATTTTTTCCCCTCATTTCTTCTCTCCCTCACTTCAGCTTTGATTATATTCATCATTGTTCTTCTCCCATGACGTTTGCTCTAGATAACAGGTTGTTTTGAATGGTACTATCTTATTAGAGGTTTTATTCTGGTGGAATAAGGAGATTTTCACACATAAAAAAATGATGCTTCTTGCGTTTAGTAGCTAAGTTTCGGATCCTACTAACAGAATGATCATAGTCAATAAATATGGAAAGTAGCCTGATAATGAAAGGAAGAAATATTAAAATTTGTATCTTTAAGGCTACTTATGATAAATTAAATGTCTTTCTCTGACAAAATAATTTAAAAATTGCTTTATTACTGCAGGGCACACACTCTGTTATTATAATAATTCTGTGAGTTTTCACATGTGCATGTTGCTCCAATGGCCCTGCATATTTTCTTGTTTTATGCCTGAAACCAAATTAATTACTTTGTTTAATTTCATGAACATGCCAAGCTGCAGTTATGAATAGCTAGTAATATCAAGTGTTTACTTAGAGAGTATGAGATGTTCCAATAAATATCTACCCAATTACCAAACAGCTGAGGGCAATATTGTTTCCAGGTAAGCCGGACAAATTATATGTTTGCTATATTTAACAGAAAATGAAGCAATTGCAAAGTCAGCACTGAAGTTTTGTTAAAATATGATGAAGCCCATAATGTCAAATTAAACTTTATTAACAAACCAATTTGCAAATACAATATTGTATAAGACAATGTGTTTTTAAAGCCAAAAAATCTCAGTGAAAACACAGATGCATCTTGAGTATCCAATGTACTGTCTATTTAGATATTTTTTGACAAACCTTCATGAGGTGAAGAGAAATAATTGTGGGGGGAGGCAGTTCAGCTGCATATTGTACTTTTATAGGTTTGTTAGCCTAGAAAAAGATATAAACATATTTTTCAAATACAAATTAAAACAACAACAACAACAACAACAAATTTTTGTATCAGTGCTCTAGCATTTGCATAGTTCATATTTTTGTATAAGTTATCTTATTTGATCCTTAGGCAAGACCCTGGAGGAAGTTGGTATAATTAATGTTTCCCAAAAACAATTTTTATTTTACAAATGAGAGAATTAATGTTGTTAGAATTCGGATGAGGGTGAGGGTGATCAGGGTGAAGGTTAGAGTGTATTAAGGCTAAAATTAGGTTGAGCCTCTCTTGTTGAATGACCTGCGCTAGAATTCTCTCCACGTAGTGGATGTATATCTGTTTTGGTTGGAGGTGACTAAGGGGATACAGGACCATCTGGAGCTTCAGGTTGTGTCTCTTATTGGGCATTGAGCTGTGAAGGCTGAATTTAATCCTGAATTATAGCTGTCTCTTGTGAGACTCTAGTTCTAGTATTCAGTCAGGACAGAAGAAGGAAAATATATGAACAGTCATAGGCTTGGCTCCACCGGCCACTCTCCCTAGTCTTCCACCTCCCTTCATCTTCACAGGATCTTGTCTTATGTATCTTCTCTTTTGGCATCGGTTTTACTTAGTCCTTTAAGTTTAACTGCTGGGGGTAAACAACTTTGTTTGCTTACAATCACTTTCCCTGCTCATCTGCTTTGATTTCTGACTGAAGGGACCAAAATAAAGAGACCCCAAATACTAAGACCCTGGTCACTGTGTCTGCTGAGATATTGAAATCTTTGGAGGAAGCTTCTAATCTTGAGAATTCTCAGATGTTTCCCAGAGTTGCCTACTGATTCCTTTGCTAATTTTTTCCCTTTTCAAATTTGAAGTTGTTAGTGAGGTTTTCCTTGACTTACCTTCTTTTTCTGGTATTACCTCCAGGATGTACAAGTGGGGTTGAGAATGGCAACAACCCTCTAGGAAATGTTTGGTATTTTGCTCTGCCTTTTCTGTTAAATCTTTTCAGTAAAGGGTTGAACACCTTTACATTTTTTTTTTCAGCCCAGAGGTCTTTTATTTTATTTTATTTTTTAACATCTATTATGCCATGAATTCATAGGGAATAGACTCCAGCAGCTCAGGCTCCTTCCCATTGGTTCTCACAAAGTGTGCTTCTCTGGGTGGAGCAGGCTGGCGCATCAGTTGAACCCAGGTACCTTTCTCTTTGGCTTCTTTCTTTTTCTGATCATTTTCCTTCATGCGTTTCAGGAAGCTATCTCGGCTCTTAGAGTGCTTAATGTGCTCAATACGCACATCAATTCTCTTGGCAAGAATCTTGCCCTTAACTTGTTTGTTTACAACAATGCCAGCAGCATGCTGGGGAACATTGTAGACTCTTCCAGTTTTGCCATGGTAACACTTGTGGGGCATTCCTTTTTGTCTACGATATCACCTTTCTTATAGATTCGCATATACGTGGCCAAAGGAACAACTCCATGTTTTCTAAAAGGCCTAGAGAACATATATCGGGTGCCTCTCCTCTTTCCCTTTGTGTTCCTCATTTTGGCGAATTACTGGAAGATGGCGGTTCCGGCCGAAAGGCGAACACCTTTACATTTAGTTACTCTTGGTGGTTGCTCCATTCACTTTAGAAAGTGTAATTGGTCGCTTTGTTGGATATTGGAGAAAAGACATTCTGTACTCTGATTTCACTCTGCTCATTTTCCTAAAAAATCCTCTCAAATCTTTTTAACTTCGGTTAATTATCAAAACACAAAATACACGCTTGTATAATGCATTTATAGTTTTTCATATGAGAAAGTGGTTTTCTGTGAATATTATCTCTTCTAAAATGACTTTAACGGATGAATGCCTCTGACTGAGGCAGTGGCTGACCCTTTTTGGAATGTGATTTATAAGCTTGTATTTCACTGAGCTTCTTAAATGACATTTCACGCTATTGATCATTTCTCCTGTGAAACTCTTATTTGTTGGCTTCAACTAAACGTTTCTGAGTCAATTTTGATTGTTCTTGTTCCTTCTGGGTTTCTTCACGAGAACCTCTTCCTTTGTCTAGCCTTTAAACTCCGTTTTTCCCAGAGGTTTGTCCTGGCACACTGCCCTTTTCAGAAAATATGTACTACTGGCATAATCTGATATATTACATATGGGAATAAAAAGAGATCAGTAGGTGAGGGGGAAGTTAGATGCTTAGGTGTGGTCATGTTGAATGTAAGGTACCTATGACATTTTAAAGGAGAGACTGTACTATAGGCCTTTAGGGATATGAGTCAGGATTAAACAAGAAGTCTATGCTAGAAATTTAGATACAGAAATAGTCTAGGAGCCAACTGAATATCAAAGCTTGCCTTCTTATCTACTGTGTATCTTCATTTTTTTTTGAAATGGAGTCTCTGTTGCCCAGGCTGAAGTGCAGTGGCATGATCTTGGCTCATTGCAATCTCTGCCTCCTGGGTTCAAGCGATTCTCCTGCTTCAACCTCCCAAGTAGCTGGAACTACAGGTGTACACCACCATGCCTGGCTAATTTTTGTATTCTTAGTAGGGATGGGATTTCACCTTGTTAGCTGGGATGGTCTCAACCTCCTGACCTCGTGATCCGCCTGCCTGGGCCTCCCACAGTGTTGGGATTACAGGTGTGAGCCATTGTGTTGGTCTCTTTATTCATTTAATGTCAGAGCTCTAGGACTATAACCCAGCACCTACTACACAGTCATCTGAAAGTCCCGGACAAACTCAAATACAGACATATCCCAATAATATCCCAAACTTTATTGGTCGTTCTCCTCTCTCCTGCCTTCTCTACTTTCTGTATTTGTATTCCTCTATTTAGTAAATCATATCACTCTAAGCCCTTTGACCTAAGTTTCTTGGGAGTCGTCTTAGACTTCCTTCTTTTCCTCATCATCTATAATTTGTCAATGGTCAAGAATTATAGATTCTACCTACTGAATAGTATCGTGTTTTAATCCATCCACTGTGTTTTGGTTACAATACTTTCTGCGGCAAGTAAAAGCTGCTTAAATATCAAGGACTCTTGTCATTACGCATAAAAAAGATTCTGGAGTTAGGTTGTTTCCAGGGTTACTTCAGCAGTTGAAACTATTAGAACTCTGGGATGGCTTTTCTACAGCTTCTTTGATCTTCTGCTTCAGCATTATAGCAATGTAGCAACAAGGATCACTGTCTTCCTTAACAAAATCCAGAAGCCAAAAGGATAGGGTTCTTTCTCGAATTCTTCAATCTTCCTATGAGGGTGGAAAATCTTTCCTAGGGATACCCTTCCTCCCACTACCATCAGCAGCCTCTCCACAGGTTCCTTGGTAAGGACTGGGTCTCACAGTCACTCAGACTCTTTGTCTATCTGGCTTTGTAGGCTTCCTCAGTGGAGGCAGGCTGTGCCAGGAAAGAAGCAGAATGGGAAAATGTCTGTCTTTCATTTCTCCACTTTCCCTCCAAGTTTCTTCACTGTTGCAGGACTGAAGACTTTTATGTCTGGCCTAGACTAATAAACTCTTGAATTATCTCCCTGCTGCCCCATCACCAACAAAGCCTACTGGAGTGAGCTTTCCAAAACACATCACAAATATTAACAAAAATGTTATTCCTTTTAATTTTCTATTTCAACCATTTTCATATTTGATAAAGAATTTTTAAATAAGTGAAATCCACATTAATTCATTAGGAAAGAGAAATTCAGAAACTGAATCCACAGTTAAGGATGTCATCTAAAAACTATGAATAAGAAGCTACAACTTTTGAGAGTCTGAGGGATGATGGAAGACGCATTGCTTGGAATAGCATCTCTTTTCCTTGGTCAACAGAAAATGTACAGGTGGGCTGCTCACTCCTGGGACACTGAAGACGTGACTGCCTCCCAGTTTTTTGAACATAAATCCAGTCACTATATTTTACAAGCAAATAATGCGGACACCTAATATATTTTCATGATGGGTACATCTGAGAAGTTGCAACTTATATTTTTAATAAAATCATAAATTCACAGAGGGATTTGTGCTTTAAAGTAACATTACTTTGATTCTTTTATTTAAAAAAGAATCTCTTGTAATGTAAACAAGCTCAGATTCAAGAAAAATTGCTTTCTGAAATCAAGGAACATCTGGATTATATATTCTTAATAGAAGTTCAATGAAATATAGAAATGTGACAAGCATGCTTTTATGCAAATAAAGAAGCTTGCAAAATAACATGAACATTTTTGTCTGAGAATCTCTTGAAAAAATGATGATAGCCTTGTTTTTGCACTTTTTATGTCACGAAGAGGTCATTTCAGCATCGTACTTTATTTAGAGACTTAACAATTATTCTTGAGTTATTTTATGTACAGAAACTAAAAATAATGTTAATGGCATAGTTAGAATATTTATGCATGGCTGATAATATTTTGGAGTGAATACACATGATTACATCTGTATATAATATTAGTAGGAAATTTTTTTTTTTTGCAGAAATAGGATCGTAATGTTCACATTGTTCTACATCTTGCTTTTTCACTGACAATATATCATGAATATTCGATTACATTTTCTACTATATTATAGAACATGTTAACTTTTTGCAGAAAATTAATTTTTTGGTTGTGTCTTAAGGTTAATATTAAAATTAATATTCTTTCCTAAAGCATCCACACTAACAACTATGCAAAGACTAACAGTGGGAGTAACTCTTTTGGGCTTTTACATATATTTTATAAAGCTGAAGTATATAATTTATGTTATAAATGTATCCAGGATGGAAAAGGGGCAAGTGTGGGCAGTGTAGGAAAAGAAATCAAGGAAGAGGCTGGTCCTTCCTCATTCAGTGACTGGTGCCTTCCTCCTTCCTCCCAAACTCTCAGTTTCAACCTTCCAGTCAGTGCTTGTGGTGGCTGGGAAAGTTCTACAAAGGCGGACTGGACGCTCAGGCTCACATCTCAAATATGGCTTGTGGGTGTTGTTATCCTCTCTGGAGCCTGGCTCAGGGGAGAACACATAAAGAAAGCCCTCCGAGACACAGCTTGGCTCATAGTAAACACTCAATAAATAAATAAATACATACATATTATTATTATTTTTGAGGATGTCCTGGCCCTAGAATCTTACCATACATAAACCTGGGGCCCACATCCAAATATTCTAATTGTATTAATTTGGGTAGGGGCCCAGGCATCAGTGTTTGCTTCTAATATGCCTCCAACATTGAGAAGCAGTGATCTCTGAAACAGGGCATCCCGTGAGCTAGCTTTCACTGCATACTTATTTGGTTGCCAGGCAGTGTTCTTCACGATTCACACACTCCTTCAGTTCTCAGAGCAATCTGCCATAGGGTTTATTATCCTCACTATTATGATATTGAGGAAACTGAAGCACAGAGACAGTAAGTAGCTTGCCCAATGCCACATAGCTGGCAAATTGCTGAGTTAGGATTTGAAGCCCAAATTGGAGCATTCAGTAAAATAGAACATCCAGCAACAAGAGAAGAATGCTGAAAGCTTCCTCACATTTTCAACTATAGGAAGAACTTGGAGTCATTAGATTGAATGACCAGTGAATGGTCAGTAAGGAGACTGAAGGCTAGAGAGAAACAGATGCTGCCTCGTATCAAGATCTTGTTAGCTTAAGAGGTAAAACTTCAGCCTTCCCTCTAACTGGGTTGTGAGTTAAAGAGAGCTCTGGTAACTCTCTGACGTAGCAGTTTCAGATTTTGCAGTCTGCTAACTACCCAAATGAGTAAAAGAGAATGTGCTTACCAGTGTGTTAGACATATGGATTTCTCTAAAGTGCTTATTATTTTAAATTTCCCCAAGTCAACTTTCTTTGAGTTGACTATTGTTTATAGTCACTGCTTTAATTTTTTTAATGAAAACATTAATTTAGATAGGAAGTCTTTAAACTTTTAGTTCATGTCTAGGCTAACTCTTGACAGTGCTACAAAATAGTATAGTTGCCTCAAATTACAGGTGTTTCCTATACAGTATGTCACATAAGTCAAAGATATTTAAATTTTCACAATAGTGACAGAAGAGTCACCACTGAATTCTGATATTTCCCAACCTATTAACTTAGACAACAGAAATGAGTTTGTTGGAGGGGGAAAGCATACTAAACTTTAGGGAAGACTATAGAAAGGGTACATTTTAGGAGACGGTGTCCTTTCAGGACAGGTAAAGCTAAGGGGGAACCTTGAAGAATGAGAGGGGAAGAAATCCCTAAAGTTGGAAGATACCACCAAGACTGCAAGCGCTAGCCAAACAGGGTGTGGCAGGGAAATACGGTAATACATTCCACCAAGACTGCAAGTGCTAGCCAAACAGGGTGTGGCAGGGAAATATGGTAATACATTTCCTCTGCTTCAGTAGTTTGTGTGCTTAACCAGTAAGTATTGTTGTGAGTTTTCCGTGATGTGTAATCACTAGAACCTTAGAGATGATTGAGTTTTGTAAACACTAACTGCTCAAAGCTTACTGAATAATTCGTGCGAAACTCTAATTTTCTTATTTGAGAAGTACTGTAAATTAGGAAGAGTGAAGTGATGAGAAACTAAATGAAACCCAAGTCCCTCAGTTATTTTACATTCATTTGTTGATGATTTCAGTCCCTCAAAACTGTGATGCCTATTATTCAGTCTTCTAAAATTTGACAATTCTCTGGTCTAGTGTGAACTACTCAAACACTCAAGTTATTAAGAGTATACCTGAAACCACAACTGGACATAGATTTCACCATATAAGTTGCAGAAATGTTAAATGCCTTTATAAGTCTGTGAAAGCAGAAGTTGGATGTTCTGAAAATTTTAAGCCCTTTGTTATTACTTTAAGTGTATTTGAATATTGAATATATTTTACTCACTATCCTTAAATTAGAAAAATTTTTGAAAGCTGAATTTCTTAATTTGTATTATTTTCCTAGGAATTATTTCTGTTTTTGAAGGCAAAATGCCAATTTGAGAAAATAAAAATCATAAATGGTTGTAAGAATAAAGCTCATGAATAAAAACAAAATTTATTCTCATTTAAGACAAGGCCATTTGGATGAAGGTGGTCTAAGTACACTTCCCAACTTCTTTTCCATCCTTTTCCCCTTACATCAGTGAAGTCTGAAGGATAGACTGAACTATTCTCCTCTTAGGGGAAGCTGAGCAAGACAGGGCCTCAATCTCTGTGGCAAAAACAAGGATAATGTGAGCTGCGCTGCAGTCTATATAATTTTTAATTTTACAGTACCACATTAAAACAGGTCAAAATAGGCCAGGCACAGTGGCTCACGCCTGTAATCCTAGCACTTTGGGAGGCTGAGGTGGGTGGATTGCCTGAGCTCAGGAGTTTAAGACCAGCCTGGGCAACACAGTGAAACTCCATTTCTACTAAAATCCAAAAATTAGCAGTGTGTGGCCATGTGCGCTTGTAGTCCCAGCTACTAGGGAGGCTGAGGCAGAAGAATTGCTTGAACCCGGGAGGCAGAAGTTGCAGTGAGCCGAGATCATGCCACTTCACTCCAGCCTGGGCAGCAGAGCGAGACTCTGTCTCAAAAAAAAAAAAAAGGTAAAAATAAGGAATGAACATTAATCTCACTAATTCAATATTTACATAATTTTAAAAATAATTTACTTAGCTTAATATGTCAAAAATATTTTAGCACATACTCAATATGAAAACATTAAGAAGATAGTTTACTGTTTTTGTACTATTCCTTTAAAATTTGGTGTGTATTTTACAGTTATAAGACATCTCATGCCAGTCTAGCTATATTTCAGGTGCTTGATGATCATGCATAGCGAATGGCTACCATATCGGTGAGGCTTCATGATATCATTAAGAAAAAACTTAGGGACCAGTGTAAAAGTTGAAGGCTTGCCTTTGTTCAGGATTTAGGGGAAGATCCTAGACTTCAATGTGTCTGGCAAAGGGCACATCTGTTGGCTTACTGTGTTCAACGTGGAAAAGCCATCTGTTAACTTCGGACCTTTGAAAGAGGACCACAGCAGTATGCTGAAGCATTTCTAGGTCTTGCGGCTAGACCCGCGCGGTGGCTTATGCCAGTAATCCCAGCACTCTGGGAGGCTGAGGAGTGTGGATCACGAGGTCAGGAGATCGAGACCATCCAGGCTCAATGGTGAAACCCTGTCTCTACTAAAAATACAAAAAAAAGAAAACCAAAATTAGCTGGGACTGGTGGCGGGCGCCTGTAGTCCCAGCTACTCAGGAGGCTGAGGCAGGAGAATGGCCTGAACCCAGGAGGCGGAGCTTGCAGTGAGCCAAGATAGCGCCACTACACTCCAGCCTGGGCCACAGAGCGAGACTCCGTCTAAAAAAAAAAAAAAAACAACAGATGATGAAGATGCCCCTGAGAGTAGAGGGCACTCTTCCAAGTGTCAGCAGAAGGATGACATTTTACCAGTTTATGCTGCTAGTCCACAAAAAGAGAAACTTCTGTCCTACTAGAACTAGTCAGATTAACTCTCTGTGAGAGAGACAAACAGCCTGACCTATAGTAACAATGAAAGAAGACACAGCCCTGTATAGACACAGATAAAGCATAACTCATTTTTCAAGACCTAGTCACATGATGGAGAAGACCACATCAAAAAAACTAGAATAGAAAGAGTACTACCAAATTAGAACTAATGAAAAAGATGGAGAGAAATTAAAGAAAAAACTAATGGCTCTCAAGGAGATACATTTAGAATAGAAAAAGGATTTTTCAGAATTGTCATGGTCAACTTTGGCTGCTATGACAAAATACATGACTAGGTGGCTTAAACAATAGACACATCTCACGGATCTGGAGGCTCAGAAGTCCAAGATCAAGGTCCAGATTTGGTTCTTGGCAAAGGCAGTCTTCCGTGTTTACAGAGAGTTGCCTTCTTTCTCTATCCTCCGTTGGTGGAGAGAAGCAGTTCTGGTATCTCTTTCTTCTCTTACAAGGGCAGGCATCCATCTCATCAAGGGGGCTCTAACCTCATGACCTCATCTAAACCTAATTACTTCCCAAAGGCACTGCCTACTACAGGTCAAGACCAGCTGATCTGTAGCCAGCTTACAGACTTGAACCGGGTTGTTGTAAGTCAGTACGATTTTATAGGTTAGGCAGCATCTTTACAGCAAAAATATGACTAATGCAAAATAATTCCACAAATAATTGAGGAAAATCTCCTGAGCTGAAGAAAAACTTCAATATTTAAATTGAAAGGATTCCTTTAGTTCCAAAGAGTATTAATGAAAACAAACTTACAACTAAATATATCCTTGCGAAATTTTAAGAATAAATTGTGAAGAGAATCAGTCTGTTATAAACATTCTTAATTTGTTTTATAAAGAGAAGATCATAAATTTTAAAGAAAACAGAAAAAAAAAGAACTGCTAAGCAAAGATTCTTTACCTATCTAAGATATTTATCTGTCAGGGTAAGAGAAAGTCAAGGCATCGGAATATAGACCACTCAGTCACCTATTTAAGTAAAGATTTTGAGGAAGCCTTCCAATTTTTGTTAATGGAATCAGATTATTTGATGTTAACGGGAAATAAAGAAAAGAGGAAAAGTGGTAACAAATCTTGCAATAATTAAGACTTAGTAGGTGGTTAAAAATTAACTGGGAATTTATTACATAAAGTAAGAATTAATTCAACCATAGAGAAACTCCAGAAGAGATAATATAATAATAACTTAAAATTAAAACTTATAGCCTACCTAAGCAAAATTCTGTGGCAAGAAGAAGCATTGTAAAAGCCCCTTCTCAGTGGGGGAAATGGAGAATTGGGGAATAAGAGACTTTAATAGTCTCTTTCAGTGGTAGAGATAAAAGGTGAGGAAGCAGTGAACAAGTAAGCACGACAGTTATTAACTAATGTTGATATATTAATCAAGTATATTTTAAAATTATCATTATTAGGAATCACTAGTGAAATCAATAAGCACAATTTAATTTCCAGATTACCTGGAGAGGAAGGGAAAGGGGGAAGATAAACAGAAAGTAATGCCAGCAAAACTTATGAAAAGGGAATAGAAGAAACAACAATAATTTATAATAAATATTAAACATAAAATGAGATTAAAAGAAAAAATCCATCATTCCTATAAATGCAAATGGGCTAAATATCTGGCCATATGCTAAGTGCTAGTAAAGAATAATATCTCTCCTTCTCTTTTGCTTAGTACTTTTAATTGTTTGGCATAGAATGTAATTTAAAACTTTAAAATTAGAAGTGATCAAAAAATGTTATTCTTTTGTATTTAGTTATGGAAAATAGCATTTGGATTTTAGATTCTGTTATTACGTTAGATTCTGTTATTTCTTTAATATCTTCTCACTGAGGAAGCCATATATAGTTTTCTTTCTCCAAATGTTTAGTTATTAAACTGGGTGTTAGAGATATATAGCAAAATGACCATTTAAACTTAGTGTTACCCAGATATTAAAAATGTGAGTTTTTTTTTCTCAAAATCCTACCAAAAACTCTCTTTCAATTTTATAGTGACTAATTACCAAGCTGCTCCTTTTCTCATCCCATGAAGAGTTGACTGTTTTTGTATGGCTATTATAAGGATGTCCTTATTTATGTTTTTAACATATTCATGGCTCATTAGATAAACCACTGGAAAATTATTTACTTTATCCTTGTGTTGAGTGAAGAGGTATTCCATTTTTTTAAAAGGGGCAGGGGAGTATAAGGAAGAACAGGAAGGCTATTTTTTTAAAGAATGTATCTGAGATATAATGTATTATAAGACTTTACTTACATTAATGAAGTTAGATGTTCAAAGTCCAGTCATGATCATTCTGCCAAAAAAAACACATGTTCTCTTATGTTCATTGCAGTGTTATTCACAATAGCAAAGACATGGAATCAACCTAGGTGCCCATCAGTGGTGAATGGGTAAAGAACATTTGGTACATGGAACACTATGTAGCAATAAAAAAGAATGAAACCATGTCCTTTGCAGCAACATGGATGCAATTGGAGGCCATCATCCCAAGCGAATTAACGCAGGAACAGAAAATCAAATACTGCATGTTCTCACTCATAAGTAGGAGCTAACCAATGGGTACTCATGGACATAATGAAGGCAGCAATAGACTCTGGGGATTACTACAGTGGGTAGGGAGCAAGGGGAGCAAGGGGAGCAAGGGTTAAAAAACCAACTATTGGGTACTATGCTCAGGACTTGGGTACTGGGATCATCGTACCCCAAACCTTAGCATCCCACAATATACCCAGGTAATAAACCCACACATGTACCCCTGAATCTAAAATAAGAGTTGAAATTATGTTTAAAAAGTCCAGTTATAGGTTGTAAATTTTCCTCATTATTGAACTTTACAAAACAAATTTCTGTGGAAAAGAAGAGAATTAAGAAGTGACCACTGAGCAGTGGTAAATAGCAACCAGCTTCATATGAGTATCTTCATTTCGGTTCATATATTACAACTCGAAACTTAAGACTAAATCAGTCTTTTTTCTTTTCTTTTCTTTTTTTGAGACAGGGTCTTGCTATGTTGCCTAGGCTGGTTTCAAACTCCTGGGCACAAGCAATTCTCCTGCCTCAGCCTCCAGAATAGCTGGGACTACAGGTGTGCACCACTATGCAGGGCCTATCTTAAATCAGCCTTGTCTTTTTAGTGCACTTGACTCACACTTCTACTTTTGAAATCAATCTTTTTTCCTCTACCTCTTCTTTTTTTTCCCCTTAAATCTTAAAGAAAATTTTCTAACAATTTTCAAAATTGATGCCCAGGTTTATAAATTGCTCATGAGGAAGCATTTTCAAAGGGAGAAGCTAAACCAAGCTAACCTCTTTCCAGTTGCTTAAAACCATTGTTTCTGGGGTTTCCAATATCTGTTTATTTCTATAATCACAAAGGGTCAAAATCTATTATCTCATTCCCACTTCGCTCTGATTTTCAGAACACAACACCTGAGTCTTTGATTTTTTTTTCCCCTTGCCATTGCCACACAAAGAATTATACAGCTCAATAAAACGAAAGACTCAGCACTGTGTACTTCATCCAAGTGGCTGAAGGGATTTTGAGATAGGTTAATGGTTCTGATTGTTTTCTCCTATTGATTTTTAGGATGATTATATTTTATTTATGGGGTGAAAAACTTAGACTTGTATGTGAACTGCCTTGACAGTAAACTAGGCCTCTTTCAGATTGAAGAATTTTATGTGAATTTGTAATGATTTGTAAAAATATAAAAAGGGGAAAATGATGACAACTAACAATTTCATTTTAAGAGAAGATTATGTCTTTAGAGAGCCTATCTGGTGTACGGGGTTGAATTAGTTTAATTGAACTGACCATTTTTATTTTATTTATTTAATTAATTTATTTGTTACTATTATTATTCTTTTTTATTTGAGATGGAGTCTCACTCTGTCACCCAGGCTGGAGTGCAATGGCGCAATCTCAGTTCACTGCAACCTCCATCTCACAGGTTCAAGTGATTTTCCTGCCTCAGCCTCCCGAGTAGGTGGGATTACAGGTTTCTGCCAACACGCCCAGCTAATTTTGTACTTTTAATAGAGACAGTTTCACCATGTTGGCAAGGCTGCTCTCGTGCTCCTGACCTCAGTTGATCCACCCGCCTCAGCCTCCCAAAGTGCTGGGATGACAGGTCTTAGCCACTGCACCTGGAAGAACTGACCATTTTTAGTAGCTGACAAAAGCAGAAACAAAAGGTGGTCCTTTTTGGCTCTAGTCCGAAGAAAGATCAGAAGAGCGGACCATCCAGGTTGTAGTGGTATGGGAGTGCAAAAGAAAGCAAGCTACTGAATCTTAGGTCAACTCCTTGCTGCTTGATTTCTGAGATTCCTTACAGCCTTCTGAAAGGCTGTGCTGATGCCCCTGACATTAAGGGAGGATGGCTCCCTTTCTGAAATCCTGACATAAATGCATTTTTCTCTTTGCAGTGCTGGCTTGAATTCTTTGGATCTATTTCAAGTGGAGCAGATGACTAATCGCCCCCTTCTGCTAGTAGATAATGGCTTGTCTATAAAACCTTGCTTTTGTGTGGTTACCTTATTGTGAAGTTCATGTCTTTTGAGGAACATTCGCAACTGAAAGGCAAGGAAAATGTCCACTCCAGAGTGTAGTAAAGCTGACAGGGGGAAAAAAAACCCACATTAAATGACTTGGCTCTGTTGTTTTTTAGTTTCCTGAGAGAAAGTGGCCTTGACCCCCATGCGTTACTGCTTTTGAGATTCTAACAGCAGATGGTACGAAATGACAGTTGGTGAAGACAACTGAAGGTGTTTCTAACATTGCAGGGTTGTGCAGGTGACTTTAAAAACAAAGGATTTGGAAGTGATAAAAAGTGGAGACTGGCAGGAGAGATGGTAATAAAGCCACTAGCTACTTGAGGCAATGTCCTCCCCCCATTTTTTTATTGCATGATTGCAAATTAAAGCGGGAAAAAAATTAACCCCAGGCAGAAAAGAATATTCAGTCCTTACCTCAGTGGTTTTAGAACAACAACAACAAAAAAACCCTAGTCTTTGGTTTTTAGATTAGATTTTTTCTTTTGCCTGCTGGTTGCCATACAAAGAGATATAGCTCAATAAAATGAAAGATCCACTGCACTGTGTTTCATATCAAGAGCCTGGAGGGATTCTGAGCCAGGTTAATGGATATGATGGTTTTCCCTTCATTGATTTTTAAGATGATTATATTTTATTTATAGGCAAGAAAATCATAGTTAATCTTAGATTTATTGAAAACTTATTGCAAGGCTGCACGAATTGATAACAATAACAGTACATTTAGGGCAACAAAACTAGACTTGTCTTTAATCCCTTAAGTGCTGATGTGCAGGGAACCTATTGACTTGAAATTAAATGTGCTCTAACCCACAACTGAATCCAGGTGGGGAAGAGTTATATTTTTCTGGCTGCTCTGAAAGATTTCATTACACAAAGCTTTGGTACACCTGAGGTGTTTCTTTTGTAAAAATGATGTGAAAAATCTAAGAGCTGAGAGCTCAGGAGTATCAGCATGTGGCTCTCTGGAGGCTTTAAGAACTGGTTTCCAAGTCAGCCAGTCATTTGTCAGCTAAAAAGCCTACTGGTCAACCAGAATTGTGTCCAGAGGTTTGAATCTTAAACAAGGATGTGTGCATTCTAAGATGCAGAAAAAGCTCAAAACATTAGCTTATGATAACTCAGAATTCCATTGGCTTAAAGTGATTATAATTTGTTTTTGTGTTCTAAATGAGTTCAGGGACCTTTTGTATTTGGAGTGAATGAATCCCTGTTCACCAAACAGGGGCAGTACGTTTGAATAATAAAGATAGAACACTGGGTCTTTGTCTCTCTCAGGATTGAATAATTGTCAATATAGTCACATTATATCTGTGGCTCTGAAACGCCAGCTAGAGGGCCTGAATATGCGGTACTCATATGAAGTGAAGGGGCCAAAAACATGTTCTCCAGCAATTTAGACAAACTTTTCCAGAGAATTGAATGTCTGTGGAGAGAAAGAAAAGAAAATATTTAAAATGACCTGTAGAGTCAAGAAGCTTTGACCATTGCAGTCACCCAAAATAATAATGTGTCATTGTTTTACGGTATTTTAAAGTTCACTTTTACTAAAAGTGCCATATTAACTCATACTGTAGCTAATATGGGTGGTTCAAGTGCACTATTTCCTGTAAAACAAATGTTCATTTTTCAGTTATGCTATGGTCTTATTTTCCAGAAATCTTGACTTGAATGCTTAGTCACTTTCTGTTAAATGCAGTGACAGAATATAAAATGAACTTACCACCAAAATTGTTGGGTATACAGATATTTCCAGCAAGGGCAAACCAACATTCTAAAATGAATGCTAGAAATCGTTGACTTTCTGTGTCTGAATCCAGGACATATTCAAAGGAAGGAGTCAGAGAAACAAAATAGTTATGCAATGAATGAGGTTTCCTTTTTTACTTAATTATTCTGTGTTGAGTTCAATTATCCATATTACTTGAAGCTCTATATTTGGAAGGAAAAGAGAAACTAGAATAAGGATGTTTCCAAAGTTGAACCTCAGGTTCACAAAATTCTGGATAAAATGGGAGACATTTTTCTATAGCTGAATATCAATCAGTAAAGTTTTATACTTACTTAAGTACATGTAGCATTTTCCTGCTAGGAAAATGGAGAAACTGAAATAAATCTTCAGGCTGGACATAAAGACAAAAATATGGAGATAAGATATTTGAAAATCCCAGAAAGAAATTTGATTTCAGTAAAGAAAGAGATTTAAAATGAAGCAAGAGATGAACCATACCTTTTACCCAAATAATCTCTGTCCAGAATTTTTGAACACAAACACAATTTCTGTTATTCTCTATATTTGACTTTATTTTTCTTGGCCCCATCTTGAATTATCAACAAGTTGTCCAAAAAATTCAAAAACGCAACTCTGGTGAACATTTTGTATGAGTCAGGACAATAAAGAACATGAAGATTCTTCGATGAGAAACCTATTTTCTCAAAACTTGTGGTTTACTTTGTAATATTTGTGAAATAATAATAATCATGTTTTATCAAAATGTGTGGTGCTTCTCTGATCAGAAATTCTCATGTAGATATTTTAACTTATCTTCATCTTAAATCTACTAAAAATTCTTTCTGAAATATGGAATTATTATAGAAACGGGAAAGAGGCATTGTGTTTAGATTTTCTTTTAACAATATTTTTCTGATGTCAAAAATATAGATATTTATTGTCAAAAGTTTAAACAAAAAGAAAAAAAAGCCATTACCTCTGACTCTCTTTTCTAAAGGTTAATTCCTGTTAACATACAAACACATGGTTAGAATTACACGTGCTGTTTAGTTACCATTTTTTAGTTTTTGTTTTTTTCACACAACCATATATAATGAGAAATCTCCTTTTAAACAACCAATGTAGACAGTTCTTTCAAATGGTTTAACTTTAAAAAATAATAGCATATCATATTCTTATTCTTTTTGGCTAAATCATATTTCTGTTAAATTTTGCTGTTTTCCATTTTCATTTCCATTTATTTCTGGAGATGAGATTCAACTAGACCAGAACGGGGTAGGGCGTATTGATTAAGGTTCCATTTATGATCTTTAAGTTTTATTTCTGTTTTTGATTTCCTTTCTCAGCCTCACCACATAAGATTTTTCAGTCTGTACATATTTTGTATACTTACTGAATTTAATAAAATTAGTTTGTGAGTAAAATGCTATGAAGATGTTGACACAACACATTAATATTTCAAGAAGAAAAAACATATTTAAGGTCTGATATAATACTCTAATAAATTCCTGATAAAATGCTATTCTGTCCTTGATTCTTATACAGTTAAACAATACTTCGCTCTTATTAATTTAGTACAATCAAGGATTATAATCACTAAAATCATCATTAGTATTCAAGACAATCAACTGAAAAGGTCAGGATTTCTAAGAACCCCTGCAAATGATATAAAATTGCTTTCCTATATGCCAGAAACAACCACTTAGAAATCATAATGGAAAAAAATCTTTCAATTTATAATGACATCGATTATATAAAATACATGAGAATAATCTTAACAAGAGTAACTCGTGGTTGGTTTACCCTTTGAGCAAAGTCTGTTTTTACTTCCCGCTGATTCTGACTTCAAAGCAGGACTCAGTGGGTATTCGTAGTCTCTTCATAGGAAAGATACTCCTCAAAGTATTCAGAAACTCTGTAGAATTTACTAAAGATGTCATTGACTTTTGGCTGGAAGGTTTACGTGGCTTTTTCTGCAAGAACATCCCCTCAGTATTGTCTCCCCTTGTCTGCCTCTCTTTTTGGTAATCTATAATTAAATCAGGGAGGTCCTCCTTTGACCCTTTTTCCATGCAGCCTTTAATCATGGAAACTAATAGGGCATGCAAATGGCCAAGATCACGTATATATGAACAGTTCATAGAAACAGTAGGGAAAGCATTGTTTCTAAAACACAACTGGAGAAGGATATAAACATAAAAACATGAGAAGGAAATACAGAGCTAATAAACTTAAAAAATTCAACCTTAAAAAAGAATTATAAGTTAAAGAAATAATAAAACATCATTTTCACTTAACAAATTTGCAATTTTTTAAAATAAGATGAACATGTGTGTTAGGTTTTTGTGAGGTATCACTTGTACTTTCAGTGGTCGTCGACATTGTTAGAATTCCAACAAGAAATTTGACAATATTATCAAGAGTCTAAAGCGTAGCCAATTTTCTTGATTTAGTTCAGAACTTCATCATCTCAGTTGAAACGTCCTCCTAATTAATCTCCTTGACAACAGCTTAAATCTTACCACACCAGAGAGAATTCTTCCCAAGAAATAAACCTGATTATGCCAAGCTCCCTGGTGGGTCCCCAATCCCTAGTTAGTGACGTTGTTGTGTCCCTTATGCAAACACATGCAGGCCATTCATAGACAACCAGCAATAGATATTGTTTATTGGACAATTATATTTTAGAAAGTTTTCTAGGTGCTTCTGAGTTTACCTCAGTTAATACTCATAACAACCCAGTGGAGCAGGTACAATTGTCCCCACTTTACATATGAGACACAAGGTAGTTAACTAACTTTCTCAAGGTCATCCAGTCAGTTTGAATCCAGAGTCTGAGCTTTAATCTCTATGCTATAAAAGGATACCTAACCTTAACCTCACCTACCAGTTTCCCTGAGCATGCTACCCTTCATCCACATGAATATTCCTCCCATTCCCTAAATGCAATTGGCTCCTTGATACTTTAGGCATACATTAGTTATTTTGCCTAGGATTCCTGTACTCAGCCAACCACTGATACAACTTATCCTGAAAATCCAGCGCTAACATACTCATCACACTGTACTGTTAATTATTTTTATACTGGTTATGGCAGAAACTCTTATTCATCTTCCCCTTTTTAATGAAAATCCTCAGGTTTCCTTGTGGTTAGGTGTGGCCCTGTTTCTAAGTTCTCTCCAGTGTTCTTTGTAGTTGTGGGAGGTAGAGAAGAAAGTTCCTTGAATGTGGGGTGGGGAAGGGTGTTCTTTCTGACAAAATCCCCTTCAGAGCTCCAGCAGCCAGATTGTGACCTTGAGGATTAAAGATCATGAAGGGAAAAGATCAAAGAAGTCTGAGTCCTTGGTGGCTTCAGAAGCCACCATACCAGCCTGGGGCTGCTTGCCTGTGTATGTATACCGGTTATGAGTAACTGTATGCAATTCCTAAGTAACATATTTATAAAAGCTAGAAACAAAATTTTTACTTTTGGCATATCTAATGCCTGGATCACAGTCTCTAGTATGGAGTAAGAGGCCCTTCTGAAAATGTTTGTTAAATACATGTAACTTTTTATACAAGGAAAGTGTAAGTAATATTATCATGAAAGGCAACATAAGTAAACACCGGGGATTTGTGACAAATTTTTCTTTTTATCCAGACCTGTAAACAAGTTCAAGAAGCTCTCTTTCACATCACAAGCTAAGACAGCAATATAAACGTATACTTTCATTTTTATAATCCATTTCCTACCAAGTTTTTGGTGTTTGGGGTAAAATGGAGAATCGGGATGATGTTGGGCTTGATTCAGGTTAAGAAAGTCCTTACCTCTGAGCATTATGCTGAGGCTTGTGTGAAAGTGAGATTTATCCGTGAATGATCTTGATGATTGTTTTAGCAGTCTAATATAACTTATTTTGAATTTTATATGTTCTTTTTTGCTTTAAAAATACATGCTGCATCCACGGAGGGATTGTGTCAGATAATCTGGATAGCATTGAACAAAACTCTTTACTTTTGAAGTGCTTAGTTAATATTTAGATGAAGGTGCCAAATTGCTTCCTTTTTTATGCTGTTTACAGAACTCAAGAAGAAAACATGAGGTTATTTATTGCCCAAGTCGAGTGCCCAAATAACCGATTAATAAATAAGAGATTACACAAATAAAAATAAGAATGCTATTTTTAAATGTAATATCCTGAAACATACCTGATTACATACTTACGATCCTAGATTGATGGAATCAATAAAATCTGAGAAGCATTTTATTTCCACATTGGATGTATGTAGCAAACCCTAAGCGAACGTTTTAAGAGGCTGATGGAGTATGACCAGTTTCACTTTCTCTCTTGGGTTCTCCCACAGAGATAGTGTGACAAAAATAGACACTCTGACTCAGATTTTTATTCATAATTCTATGATCTTTGTGCATTTGAGGGAATTTATTGCTTACTTCAGTAAGCCCATCTGATTTACCTTTTTAATAAGAAGTGATTACAGGAACATTTAGCTGAGATGCTCACTACCTATTCTATTGAGACATGCTGTTTTTTTTTTTCCTTTTTTCTAGGTTCACCCTTTCCCTATCCCACCAGTAAATCTATCAAGGGCTTTCAGTTGTAGGTTATTCTTCCCTGGTCTTTCTCTAATCTCTTTAACCTCATAAAAATACTAAGAAGAAATTCAGGCCAGGAGCTAAATTATTTTATTTTTCTCTTCTTTGATGCCTCATATATTACCTTTAACTATAAACCGTTAAAGTCATCATTTTTGAGCTGTAAAATCACTTTGTCTTGATAATAATGGCTAACCTTAGAGAATGTGGAGATCTTGCTTTATTTTTCCAGTGTAAACTGGAAAAATGACACATAGAGCTTTTGTCATGAATTGTGGCTGGAGACATGTATTAGTCTATTCTCATGCTGCTAATGAAGACATGGTAATTTATAAAGGAAAGAGGTTTGATTGATTCACAGTTCAGCATGACTGGGGAGGTCTCAGGAAACTTAAAATCATGGTAGAAGAGGAAGCAAACATGTCCTTCTTCACATGGTGACAGCAGAAAGAATGAGAACCAAGCAAAGGAAGGAGCCCCTCATAAAACCATCAGATCCGTGAGAACTCACTATCACTAGAATAACAAGGGGGAAACTGCCCTCAAGATCCAATTACCTCTCACTGGGTCCCTCCATGACATGTGGGGATTATGAGAAGTACAATTCAAAATGAGACTTGGGTGGGGACACAGCCAAACCCGATTGATTATATCTTGATTATATTGATTAAATATATTATTTAATTATATTGATTAAATCTTGATCGAAGCGATTAATCCTGACTAAACCAAGATATAATCAGGGTTTTTAGTTGCTACATAAATTGGGCAGTTAGCTCTATTCATGAATTTGAGATCCTTCTCGAGAAGGAGGATAAAATTACAGGTTGCTAAATTTTGCTTTATTTCTGTTAATTCCCTGGCTTCAATATAGATTTATAGTATTTCTTGTTTTTTTTTTTTTTTTTAAATTTTTGAGTGATAAGAAGCTCTGTGGCTCTGTCAGAATGGCAACCTCCCCTGGAAAGTCAAGTCATCTTTACTTGTTTATTCAATTTCTTCTCATTTCTATAGCTCCTCATTTCTTCTAGAAACTTTGCCATACTCACCTTCCTTTTCTAAATGCTTATGAATTGCTTTCTTCATGACATTAAATTTTGTTATGCTACCAATATCTTTGACTGTCTAGGTATCTACCTATCTATTCATGTATCTTTATCTAAACATGGTAATTTTGATTTTCCTAAAGTCTTTTTTTTTTTTCAGACGAAGTTTCACTCTTGTTGCCTAGGCTGGAGTGCAGTGGCGCGATCTCGGCTCACTGCAACCTCTGCCTCCCAGGTTCAAGCAATTCTCCTGCCTCAGCCTCCTGAGTAGGTGGGATTACAGGCATGCACCACCACGGCCAGTTAATGTTTTGTATTTTTTTTTTTAGTAGAGATGGGGTTTCACCAAGTCAGCCAAGCTGGTCTCAAACTCCTGACCTCAGATGATCCACCTGTCTCTGCCTCCCAAAGTGCTGGGATTACAGGTATGAGCTATGAGCTATCATGCCTGGCTGATACCTCCTAAATTCTAAACACAGTAATATATACTGTACATACATTTCTAAATTTAATTTAATCTTCAAAATAAGTCTATAAAATAATTAGTATTACATATATTTTACAGAAGAAAAAACTATATTTTACTTGTCTACTTATTTTTTTTTTAAGATGGAGTCTCACTCTGTCGCCCAGGCTGGAGTGCAGTGGCCGGATCTCAGCTCACTGCAAGCTCCGCCTCCCGGGTTGACGCCATTCTCCTGCCTCAGCCTCCCGAGTATCTGGGACTACAGGCGTCCGCCACCACACTCGGCTGATTTTTTGTATTTTTAGTAGAGACGGGGTTTCACCGTGTTAGCCAGGATGGTCTCCATCTCCTGACCTCGTGATCTGCCCGCCTTGGCCTCCCAAAGTGCTGGGATTACAGGCATGAGCCACCGCTCCCGCCTTACTTTTCTACTTATAATGACAACAATAATAACCATTTATTGAATTACTAATACAGTCAGGAACCACATAATGACATTTCAGTCAATAACGAACTGTACACACTATGGTGGTCCCATAAGATTGTAACACTGTATTTTTGTTGTGCCTTTTCTGTGCGTAGGTATGTTTAGATACTTACCATTGTATTACAGTTGCCTACAGTATTCAGTATAGTAATATACTATAAACATTTGTACCTTAGGAGCAATAGGTTATACCAGATAGCCTAGGTGTGCAGTAGGCTACACCATCTAGGATTGTGTAAATACACTCATGAGGTTCGCACAATGATGAAATCGCCTAACAACACATTCCCTAGAAGGTATCCCTGTCATTAAGTGATGCATGACTGTATGTAGTAGGCATTGCACTAGGAGCCTCACTTAGTTTTACATGATTGTGTATTGCCTTGTTTGAAACTGGATTTAAGATAGCTTACTTGAACTATTCTTTAATTTTCATAGCAACTCTGAAGATAGAAATCTTATTTTAGAGATGATGAAAATATATCTTTACTGATAAAGTTTTATTTATCAATCTAATATTTAGATAAACAAATAATCAACTGGTAATTTTGGGGTAGTCTTTTCCTGATTGCCTACCCTTGCCTTATCCTGTTTATCATAAACCCTTATAAGTGGCCAGAAATTGCTCTCTTTAGCGC